AACCAACTCCGCTGCCCCTGCATACAAATAAACACACACATAGGCAATTGTGTGAGTCCTGCTGCCATTTCACTGTGTGCCATATTGTGGTACCTGGGCAGCACAACGCTCACACACACACCTGCCCCCCCACCTGCCAGCTATACTTTACCCTCCGCCAGTACAGGTGTCCTTACCCCGAACTATCCAGCGCATTCCTGCCCTATGCATTTTGAATTTTGCTCGCAAATTGCAAGCACTCATTGGTCAGCGTGGTCAGGTGATTGGCTGGGAAGCCAGCTCCTTGCTGATTGGCCGCCAATCAGCATCGAGCCTTCCCGGCTAATCAGGTCATTACTCTCCGCCAGATTTCCTGATTGGCTAACAAGCTGGCTCGATGATGATTGGCCGGGAACCCGGCTTCCCAGCCATTCACAATCAAGCCGGCCAAACAACATGGAGTCGGCTTCCCTGGCAGTCAGGAAGCCGGGTAGCATCTCATTACCCGCTGCCCGGCTTCCTGATTGCTCTGAAAGCCTGCTCCATGCCAACGGAAGCACCGATACTCCGTGAGTACCGAAAGCAAAATATCGGTACTCTATACCCAAAAAACGGTATTGGTGCATCCCTTGTTTTAAACTTTTAAAACTTTTTTTTTTTTGTACTGGGAAAAGTAGATTGTCATGAAGGACAAGTAGATATGACCCCTGCTTTAGCCCTTGGACAAGTAGTTTTTTCAAAAATTTCCACACCCCTGTCAGACTGTAGTCCATTTTATGTAAACTCTATTGTGAGTAGTTGGTAATCATTGCTTTATCTAGCCATATGTTTTTTTTATACGTCGCTTAGAAAATTACATATCTACACTGAAGATGGGAATGTTTATTAAAATAAGACAATCTATTACACAAAAATTATTTAGCAGTTTTGTGGCACATTTTTAGATTGAGATTTTGGCCTAATTTAGATTTTGATGAAATAACCATTGCTGCTTGCCTAAGGAAACCAATTAGATAGATTTTTTTTTTTTTTTTTTAT